TGATATTCGATCCGATTCAAGCTAAAGATTTTCTTCCGGAGATTTTTCTTTTTCTTTTTATTTTACAAACATAAGATGTGTACCTGAATTCAAAGGAACTACCTTTTGTCCAAGGACGAAGAACAAAAGGTGTGTAGAACGCTACCAAAAGAGAGTCCTTTGAGCACCGACCTCTGTGTTTGCTCGTCGCATTAGTGACCGCAAGAGACCCCGGTGCGACGTACACATATTCTTGAAAGCGTTTCGACAAGCTTTTGTTTTTCGACATATCCTTGAATCTTTTTTCTTTCCTCTCTCCTTTTTTCTTTTTTTTTTTTTTTTCTTTTTCTTAGTTACGGCCAATCGAGATCCTGTGTATACATAGACGAAGTAAGTGCGCATAGTATGCAAAGGTTTAAAAACATCAACATCGCCAGCAGATGTTCCTTTTTAAAGGAAACGAAATGGAAAAATATTATTTCAAGATTTTCTTTCTTTCCATTTCTTATTTATTTCTCTCTTTCTCTTTTTATCTCCTTCGCGTTTTCTTTTTCTCTGATTCTTTCTTATCAAAGGGTAAAGTAACGTGATCGAGAGAAAGATGGAAAAGTGCGAATAGAAATTTTCTTGGTAGGTGTAGAATGTTTACACGGGCTGTTAGGAAAGTCAGTGATCCGTAGGAAAGGGTAGATCGAGTAAAAGATGTCGCGTGACTCTACGCTCGATTTGACTTCGTTACCGAGATACTAAAGTGGTGGTATAACGGGGAAACAATCTCGTTCTCTTTTGCTCTTCTTCTCTTTCTCTCTTTATCTCTCTCATTCATTCATTCGCTCATACTCTTTTTCTTTCTCTCTCTCTCTCTCTCTCTCTCTCTCGTGCTTTCTAGAATTTTGTCGATATTGTTGCCTATTGGGATAGCAGATACACTTGAAAGTTATCAAAGTGCGGGATCGTAGTTTGAGTATCTTCTCTAAAATGCCTTTCGGCAGGGCATGAGTTTCATTTCTGTTCGATTACTGGATATTTCAGAACGATATTCGGAAGGCACGATGACGATCTCGATCTTGCTTACTCTCTCTCTCTCTCTCTCTCTCTCTCTCTCTCTCTCTCTCTCTCTCTCTCTCTCTTTTTCTTTCTCTCTTTTTTTTTTTGTTCAATTCAGTTTCGAAGAATCGTTTTACGGACTTTCGCATTTGCTTCCTTTTTATTGTGTCTTTCTTCCGTTCGAATAAAATACGTGGCTATAGTCTATGACAAACATCAAATCGAAATGTTTCTACTGTTAACACAAAAGACCCGTCATCCTTTGTCAACTTTTCTCTATGTTTCAATAACGATCAACAAATCGAGCACTCGTTTATGAGACCTAAAATCCTATTCTCTCTCTCTCTCTCTATCTCTCTCTCTCTCTCTTTCTCTTTTGCTATCACGAAATTTTACGTTTTCGATGTCACATAGAAAAATGCTTGAAAATAATTGCCGAGTGGGTCCGCGCGATGTTGTCATTGGAAAAAAAAAAAAAAAGACAAAAAGGAAGAAAAAGAAATAAAAAATATCATTTTCATTTTTAACAGATCGTATCTAATGAACTCAAAACGAACGATGGAATCATTATTATCGTTTTATTAAAGCAAGCATCGAATATTCAATATAATTATTCATCCTCGTATTTCATCGCATATTAATATAATATTAAAAATAATTTGTGTCTGCGCTATCTAATTAATACTAATGACGAATGAGTTCAAGGATCGAATATTTTAATAATTAATCATCTTATAACAATAGAAATCGAGTTTATCAATTTCTGGATACGATCTCGTATATGAGGCAGGAATTTTATGTCGCATTCTGTATTACCTACTGTGATAAATTGATTTTTTTCAATAGCAACTTCCGGTACATAAACTATAAACATGGTACTACTATGGTAAAAGATATTTGGCAGTCGATAAATACAAAACTTTATATAATAATTAAATTTATCTAATAAATAGTTATAATAAAAATCATTTGCGATAAAAACTCTATCAAATTATATTTGTATTCTACTGTAAGTTGTGTTTTATCTTACGTTTACTTTTTTATTTTTCTTGGAAAGTAAATATCGATAAAAACTAGTAATAAACTTTTGCAATAATTTCGAATATGGCACTTTCGTCGTGAAGATTTTGATATAACTTTTTTGATATCAATGGCGATAACTGGAATCTCTTAGACGTGAATTCTATCGGTAAAACAGATTTTTTTTTACCGAGCTTAAGGAAGTTTACATTTCGCTCGTAGGGTGGATAACTTCAGCGACAGATATGGAGAAGATATGAATTACATACGTAAGTCGGGAACGTTATCATCGTAAGTAATTCGCAGATAACGTTACAATCGAATTAATGTGGATTAGAATAAATAGTCAAAATAAATAGTGTTTAATAAATTTTGAATTCATATTTTTCATTTTTTCCCCATTCACATTCTTTTTTAATAATGGCGTGTCTGTCGCTGAAATAATTCGTGATAGATACGATGCAGTATTGCATTTATTTTATTATATATTTATACACTTAATATTTGTCCATAGAATTTTATTATATCCAATCTATTTATTTGTGAAAGTATTATTAAGTAATATATAAATCAGAATTAGAATAAAGGAATTTCGAAGATATATCGAAATATGTAGCCATTCGCCCGGTAGTACTTGCATAGGATTCAATTTCAATAGGTAGCAAGTAATACCGACCCAGGTCTCACCACGTGGAGGTTGCTACATCTAGAGACCCACGGGCTAACGGTGACTCTACTCTAAAATCCGCGTTTACGAGATAATCCAATAGAATTTTTAAGCAAATAAAAACGAAGTCCACGGTAGGACTTTTTAATCGTGCCCGTGAATACTCACGTGAGTATTAGAATAACGGTGATTCTAAACTGAAATTCGAGGTGATATAAGATAACCGAAAATTCTAGCTCCTAATGCTATCTGAAGATTGGTCAGTCTTTGCTTACGGTTAACAAGACCGTCGCAATATCGGCAGCTACATATACTCCAATACTAAATAATACCGTTCGTGTATCCTGAATTTCGAACAATACGACAAAATTCATAAGAAGGAATTTTAATTGCGTTCAGACATCACACGCGTGTGTTAGAAAAATTCCGTCTCCATTGTAAAATCAGCGTTCGCGAGATAATCTAAACGAATTTTTCGAGCAAATAAAAGAAAATCTCCGATAAAACTTTTAATCGCGTTCACGAACACCCACGCCTGTGCCAATCGACACACACGCAAGTGTTCTTCCTATCCTTCCCGTATTCTCGCGTAAAAATCAATGATGAATTTTATCCCTCGATGATCTCTGAAGAAGAAGAAAGAATGAATTTGACAAAAAATATTATATTAAAATTATTTTACGTTTCTCGGGCGTTTACGATCTTTTGAATGTTTAAACGAATGTACTTTTGTTTAAATATTAATTTATTTTATTCCGTGTACATTAAAGATCGTTTAAATAATTGAAAAATTATCGAAGATATTAATTTATAAGTTTTCACTTTTTAAAAGTAGAGAACTTCGAGTATTCAAAAGAAAACTAAATCGATAATTAACAAAATTTCCAAAAAGTTTGTTTTTCTTGATATTAGACGAACGTTCGCTATTTCAAAATTTTAATTCTAATAAACTATATAATAATTATTATCGAGAGAATGCTATTCTTTGACACGATTTTCTTTTTTTTCTTTTTTCAAAAAAAAAAAGAAAAAAAAAAAAAAAATAAATCTTTTTCAAAAGTACGGTAAAGCCGTGTACTCGCTTGAACTTTCATTTTAAATGAAACGTTATCAAAATCATTAAAGAGTAACGTTTTTATTGATTGTTAGTGTAAATCATTATAAAACTAGGAGGGATGAACAGCTTTAGAAAGAGAAAAAAAAAAAAAGAAGAAGAAAACTTAAAGCTCCAAATTTAAACGACATTCTCAATGTTCTTACATTATTATTTTATTTTCGAATAATTTAAATAATCCATCTAACAATATTTTTCTCGTAAATGAAAGAAACTTTACGATTAGATTTTTCATTAATAAACTTGTATTATACGTAATTACGTATATCTAAGCATACGTACGTCCAATAATTCTCATCTCTCGAGTTTTACGATTAGATTTTTCATTTATAAACTTGTTTTATACGTAACTATGTGTATCTAAGCATACGTACGTGAAAGAATTCTCAACTCTCGAGTTTTCTGTCATCTGCGATCTGATATTTCGTGTGTTTATAAATGACTTCTTCGTATTCAGTCTGTTATTAATATTTCCAAGTACTCTTTCAAAACATACATTGTTTCTTGTTATCGTATTCCTCGTATATACCTACCACCTTGAAACTATTATGCGTAGTGAGTACTCGTAATTTGTTATGAATAGGATAGGTAATATATAAACAAACGCGTTAGTACGTATCCGACCATTACCACGATAGGATGTAGCTTAGGTTATTCCGTTAATATATTATTTATTCACGAACTTGTCGCATTTACGCTGTATGAAAAATTTACATTAATAACGTTAATAAGCGTAACTTATAATTATTTATTATTTCTTGTTTTCTTTTCTTTTTTCCTTTTTCTTTTTTTTTTCTTTTCTTTTATTTTTTTATTTATTTTTATTTTCTTTATTCTTTTCTTCTTTTTATTTTTTTTTTGTTTAATTTTCTTCTTTTATTAAATCATAGTCGCTTAATTATTTATTAATCGTTAACATTGTGATCGTTCATAAACTCACACTATCGCAACTACAATTTTTATTTTCCATCTAATGTCGTATTCTTAACAGATAATACGGTTCTTCTTCTTCATCTTTTCTTTTCTTTATCTCTTTATAAATTACACAATTTATACGTAAAGATACAAAAGTTGAATTATATCGCACGATGTACGCCCTCTCTTTTCTTCTTTTTCTGTTTCGATTCGTTAATAAATACGTACATACATACATTAAATACGCGTACATACATACATACAATAATAATTAACGTGAAGTCGTATCTTCTGTATATTTCGTTTAGCTATACAAATTGTAATTATCGCGCTGTATTAGGTGATGCTGTGGTTGATGGTGGTATTGGTGTTGGCACGATACGAAGATATACGAAGATCGGACAGATTCGTTCGCAAAAGGAATAATTAAAGGTATTGATTATCGAAAATTCTCATTCGCGTGCTTTCATTTTTATTCTCTTACGGCACAATTCAAAGTCCAATTATTTCTCTTTTTTATTTTTATTCGTTCATTATAGCCGTTCAATATTTTCCTATCTTCTTTAATAGAAAATATACGTACACCCTATACATACATACATATAAATACATACATATATATATATATATATATATGTATACATATATGTATATGTGTATATACATATATGTATACATATATATATATATATATATACATATTTAATAGTGATACGAGTAATAAGAATATTGCAAATGAGTATTTAATATCTCTCGTAATGAAATAATGCACAATAGATAATAAATAATAATCATAAGCGCAATGCATTTTATAAGGCGAAAAAACGAATAAATTGTCCAAGCGATATTTCGCAACGATCGATATTCGTGTAATTATTTCGAGAGAGAGAAAGAGAGAGAGAGAGAGAGAGAAAGAGAGAGAGAATGAGAGAGCTAATGCACTCAATGTCAGTGTGTTTCCTGGCACTGACTGTATGTTAATTAATACGATGGCGGCGCGGCTTTATGTAATTCAGTGTGCTTGTAGATACTACGAATACTACTGCGTTACTGCTAATGCACGAAGTAATTCCATGCAATACCAGCAATACTCCTTTCGCATTTTGCTCATATTTTATTTTTCTGTTTTTTTTTCTTTTTTTCTTTTTTTTTCGTTTGATTTATTTATTATCCGTATATGTTTTTATTTTTCATTTATTTTTCATTTATTTTTCATTTATGGAAAGTAACAAGAGCGAATAAAATTAAAAATTACGAAGCGAATTTTATAATATGAATTTTTTTGTTCATCTTTTTCTTTTTTTTTTTTTTTTTTTTTTTTTTTTTATTGGCGTATAAAGAAAATTTCAATGCGTTTTATTTTCGTTTGGTTTAACTCGAAATATGAATTTCAAATTCGCGTTTGTATCTATGTGTGTTGGTACAATATCGTCCAAATGAACTCACGTTATTACATTTACCTCGAATGCCCAGTTAACGATCGATATGGATAAGCAAGTACCTTCATAATCTACATCGAAGTTTTACAAAGTGATTATTATGTTATTCTTCTATGACAATACTGGATTTTAAAGAAAGAAATTATACATATATTTCTCTTGATTGTTATCTATTCTCCTTCATATTTTTCTTTTTTGTTTTTAAATTTTTTAATCGTACCATATATTTTCACATAAAAAATATACTATATACTCGCCCGTCACAAAGAAAAGTATACGAAGGATTAAATTGCATTAGTAATTACATTGGTTATTAGCAATTCGTTTATTCTTTTTTTTAATATATATATATATATATATATATATATATATATATATATATAACGTTAGGTATTCTTCTATATATATTTATATTTTTCAATATACGTATATCGAATTGTATTGTAGAGCTTGCGTATCCATATTAATGAGTATAATAGTAAATTTCGTTTATCGAAGTCAAAGGAGAAATTGCATTTGAAATGTTGCATTATAGAAAAAAAAAAAAAAGAAAGGAATAATCGATCGTCTTCGATGAATCATTTGAACGTCTTTCAGTACAACGATAAGTGTTTATCGGATAAAATTCTTTTATTATAATTCTCGATGAAATAATTTATAATTCATTGAGGTGCCAGTCGGCGTCTATTGCGCAGGATCGATCCACATTTTGATGATCGATATATCATAAATAGTTCGAAAAATCCGATTTCACGGATATAAAAATGAAAAGAGTTTATTAAAATGATTAAGCTCGTGATTTTCGAACATTGACGAAACGTTCGATGGGATCAAAGGAAATTTTATTATATAAAAGATAAAATGATCGAGAATGTCACGAATGTCTTTTCGATCGTCGATCCTGCGTACTTACGTCTTATTGTTAATTAAAATATACGCAATGTGAATGAAATTAATTTAATCGTATGGTACAAAGTTAGGATCGATTAGAAATTTCAACTTCGTTATTCGTGTTGTATTTCTATCATCGTAATTATTAATAATAATAATAAATACAACAAGACATGCAGAGAGTAAAACTCTCGCACTTACGCGAAGGCGCATATATCTATCTTTAAATCGCGTTTGGCAATTTGTTCGTTTCACGTTCGAGGCCATTCACTTTCTTCCAGGCGATTCTCGAACAAGCGGAAGAGCCACCCAATTCATTTCTTTATGTTTCTTTTCATTACACACACACGCACACACACACACACACACAGAGACAGATATATATTCTTTTTTCCTAATCTTTCTATCTATATGTAACCAATTTATTTCTCAGCTCGTTCCTTATCACTCTTTTCCTTTCTTACAATACTTACGAGATCTTTTTGTAGGAGAACACGCGAAAGAAGAAAAATAATTGGATCGATCTAATATGATTTTTTACTTAAACATAGTTTTTCTTTCTTTTTAATTTATTATTTAGACAACTTGAATGCGCTTTTCAATTTCACCGACGATGTTTCTTGTGTTCTAAAATCGAAAGATGGAGAGAGAGAGAGAGAGAGAGAGAAAGAGAGAGAGAGGATGAAAACGAAAAAGGAAAAGATGAGAAAGAAAAAGAACGGAAAATTCTTAAATGAAAAGGTTCTCATCACAGTCGGATAGAAATCTCTCTTTTTTCTTCTTTCCTTTTTTTCTTTTTTTTTCTTTTTTTCTTTTTTTTTCTTTTTTTTTTTTTCTTTTTTTTTTTTTTTTTAATACATACATCTTTTCACAAGCGCCAGCGCCGAGAGTTTCTAAGATACCTTCTTCGACATCGACTCTTCCGCCAGTTATCGAGTTATCGATTCGTATAACCTTGCGAGCTACGTTCTATATGAAACATCACATTCAATAATCCTTCACGGTCCGCGATACATGTCTTTCTATACCTATGTTATAATATACATATATATGTATATATATATATATACATAATATGTACGCATATATATAATAACGAGATCTTTTTTCTTTTTCTTTTTCTTTTTATCTTTTAAGCGCATATACAGAGTAAGACTTCTTATCTACTTTTTGAGCATACCGCGCGGCTAATTTAACTTATTTAATTTATATATGTATACTATTCTCGAAATTGTTCACGTTACGTTATATATCGTTATTATTATTATTATTATTATTATTATTATTATTATTATTATTATTATTATTATTATTATTATTATTATTATTACTATTATTATTATTATTATTATTATTATTATTATTATTACTATTATAATTATTATTGATGCAAAGGTTACAAGCACGAGTTTATGTACTAAAAAGTTTCATGTAAACAGCAGTTGGATCGATGCAATGGTTAAATTCGTGACAGAGTTTGTGGGGCGGGTCTGCGTGTCGCGCGTGCGTGCGTGCGTGCGTGTGTATGTGTATATATGTATGTATGTATGTATGTATGTATGTGCGGACACATCGTAACTACGATAACGAATGCGTTTGCACTTAAACGAGTATCGTGTAAACAGCACAGCTTTTTCTATTCGTCAACGTCGTTGTCCTCTATCCTGTTTGAAGGTGGTCGCCATGTTGGTCCTTTTCTGCTTTTTATTTTCTTCTTTTTCATCTTCTCCTCGTTTTTCTCCTCCTTCTCTTCATGTTTACTTCGAAGTTAGATTCTCGCATAAACATTTCGATTGACATTGAAATCGAGCCAGAATTAGAGATACATATATTCTCTTTTTGCGTGCTATTTTCAACGTATACGCGCCTGTGTATATGTGCGTATTTCGTATGTGTATATATATATATCTATCTATGTAATTGCATGTGTATATATATATATATATATATATATATATATACATATATATTTGTCTTTTAATAATAATATCGCATTTTAAGAAAATAGGAACAGAGACGAATATAGGGACAGACTACGAGTTGTCCGTGTAACCTAATTCAATTCCTTTGTATTTAGTTCATTAATGAATCAGTTAATATTACAATTTATTAACAGTTCGTAGTTATATCCATAACGTTCAATTTCATTTATTTCGACGCGACGACGGTTCAATCTTCTTATTATTTTATCTTACAATATTGTTTCTCACACGTGCTATGTCCTCTTTTCCTTCTTAGATGTATATGTTATGTATATTCGTATGTATTTATGTATGTATTTATGTATGTATGTATGTATGTATGTATGTATGTATGTATGTATGTATGTATGTAAATATATATATATATAATTATGTATATAATATGTATATATAACGCGTATTTTTTGTTTTTTTTTTGCTTTGTTTTGTTTTATTTTACCTATATTTATATATTTATGTATATGTATATTTTTATATTTATATATGTATATTTTCGTATGTTCAAAGTTTGCGTATGCATACATCAACGCGATGCACTTTATGTTATAGATACATAGCTTGATCATTCGTTTTCGAAACGAAAGTCATTTAAATGGTAACAAATGTGTTAATAATTAATGAGTTACGCGCCGATTCGATAGTTTAGAAATCGTGCCATCAGTCAGTTACTTTTTTTAATCCGATCGAAGTCTCGTGGAATACCATTTCCTTTGAATAGACGAAAGTTATGCGAAAGATTAAATTTAAAAATTCTACGAAGGACCTTGCTATCTGTATTCGAATATCTCGCAGATTAAATTCCAACAAAGATTTAAACGGTTTCTTGAAAAATTCATCTCCTTGCTTCCTTTTTTGAAAACTTCCCAAAAAAAAAAAAAAAGAAAAAAAAAAGATGAGAAAAAAAATCGACCGATAAAATCCAATAGAACAGGCGTGACTATAATATACTCGTATTCTTAGGATCGAACATGAAAATTTTTCGATTCGCCGATGATAAATATTAACGAAATTGATTTAATTTAAATAATTCAGAATTTAAATGTTATTCGAAATGTGATAATCGAAGTAATTCGATAATATGATAAATGAAGAAATTCGAAGCCACACTAACTGCATAGAG